GACTTGTTTTCAAATTGACTCTGTTTTCGAATACACTCTTCAGTTCCGCGTGCTTGGGAGATATACTGACAAATAAAAACTTTATTTTTCGCCATATCAGATGAATTCGGATACATTCAATTATGCCTGATCTTGGGTGCGTCTGGCGGTTCAATGCACTTATTCCAAGTTATATAGTAAAGAAAATAAATTTATTTATGTGACTTTTTATATCGTAGTTTGTAGGCATGCCTGGGAGAGGGCTAATTGAATTGTATTTGAATTTGTTCTAAACCATGAATGTTCAACGACAGGTCTCATTACTTACGTACATTGTCTGTTTATGCAGTGATGTAAATGTTTTCCAGATGACGTCATGATACGATATGAAAACTTGTGATAAAGACACCTAAATGTATACGTCGATTGGATGTAGGTCCTCCATCCATCAAATATTAAATGTTAAAAATTTGTAATTCTTTGTTTGCTTGTATTTCGAAAAAAGGAAGAGATGCTTAAGAAAAGGTTTCGAGCTTTGATTATGCACATAACAAGTAGAACAATATTTCTCGATATGTTTACTGCATACTTACGCACATCAAAAAGAAAGTATTTGAAAATATTGCATGCTTGAATATTTTCTTGTATTTTCTTTATGAAATGCGCTCAGTAGTTGACATATTGATGATATATTTTACATAACCTTGCGGTATCTTTCAACTTCAAAGGGCAGTTTAAACGAAAAAAAAGAAAGAAAGGAAATTGAATGGTATTAAAACGAGTGTCAACTTGATATTCTCTCCATGTTCCATGTATGTTAAAGCAGCATAACAAATTTCATATATATTTTAAATATAAATGAAAATATAATAATGGGGGAAGGTTTTTTTTTTGTTTTTTTTTTTTAATTTTGATTTTACCGGGGAGTAAATACAAATTTAGAACATGTTCTAAATTTTGTATTTACTCCCACCCGGTTAATTCAAAATTTAGAATATGACAGCTAAATTATTGCAGATCTGAAACAGGGAACGATAATCATTTGAAGAATGGTATCATACCAATTTCTCAATGCCATGCATACATGTAGCACATTAATTGTATTAACATTTTGGGTTGCTTAATTTTCTACTGCGAAGTACCAAATAATTATAAGTAACAAATCACAACTGACTAATGAGTTGAACGTGTAATGAGCCGAAAGTACAATGTAAACAAAAACTAACAAAAGACTTGTATTGAGATTACGACAGTCTGTCTGAAATGAACAGAGAAAATTTAAAAATAGATTTTTTGGGATGTTAAAAAAGAAAGCCCCCCCCCCTTTTTGGCTTTATTAAACTTGGTTTTTAAACTTTTTTCATTAAACTTGGACTAAACTAAACTAAACTAAACTAAAATTAGACTAAATTATCAAATTTGGTTATTAAAGTAATACATATTCGCAATTATTATTAATTTATTAATTATTAAATTTTATCGGATGAAAATTGTATTGAAAACTTTATTTGTAGTACATTTCTAGGTTTCTCAAAAGTTTTCTTCTTCGTCGATATGCGAGTAACAGGTTAGAGAAATAAGATGGAATTCAGTTAATCAAAGCTTTTGCATACATGCACACGAACATCAAGAATAGCAGAACGGAATGCCGTGAAAAATCTCGCCCTCCAAGCCAATTCCAAACTTGGCCTGGTGTCAGAAAAACAACAAGTTATCTTTCTTCCCATAGACAAAGCGTAACAAGAAATATAATTTTAACTTTTCGATCTCATCACATTTTGTACTTCAAATATGACATTCATTAGCATGATTAGACTGCACAGTCCAATCCACCAAGTACATACTTGAACCATTTAAAATAAATTCCTATAAAGATGAATCAACAGTGATTCATTTTCACGTATCTAAAAATTTATACACACCTCAAATTTGAAAATACATTTAAGTAAGATAGATAGCATAGCATCTACATTGATCACTGTTCCACACTTTTGGGATAGGTGCAGTATGTAGTAGTAGTAAACCTTTATTTAAGGAATATGTGTTGTAGACTTTATGCGAGTAAATCAATAATGTATCATGAAAACTTGAAAACTCTTTTATAAAAGACTAAACTTGTGATATCTGGAAATTTTGTGAACAGGGCTAAACAGTTACTGCAAAATTCGTGGATGTTTGCGTAATGGTTAATATGTAACGGAAACAAGTAACATGTACTATATTTTGGCATAGTTGCATATACATCTGTCTATTTAGCTCGATCAGTTTAGCATAATAAAATGTTATAGATCTTGAAAACTAGGAAATATTTCGCCTTTCTACACGTACTTTCAATATCAGAAGTACACATGTATACCTATATACATTTGCTAATGATTTCGATTCCTTTAGGAATAAAATATAAAATACAAAGGTCCCTCCTCCGCCAATTTTTTTTTTCTACTCAAACATTTTTTATGTACAAATTGTTCCCGGACAAAGAAAGCTAGCTCTTGTGTAACCCAAATAGTTTAGAACCAACATCTTTCTTCGACACTTAAATCAAATTATCATTTTCAATATATATTTTAGTAGTGATGATAGCATATTCTACATGATATTCAGAACGTTTATTAGTGCATATTAACATAATGAAATGGAAATTCATTAAACTAAGCTGTAGTGATAAAAATGCATGCAGCCGGCATGTGTACAAAGACACGGATAAACAAATATTTCGTTAACACTACTCGTAACTATCTGACAGTGACAACATGAAATATGACGCTAGTTCTGTAACTATTAATTACATTAATAATTTTTCAAGGGATCAGTTAGAAAAAGGCAAATCCAAACCTGTATTCGGAATTTCAAAAGATTTGGCCTATGGGAGAGATCACTTTCCCGGAAATAAGTCAAATTTAAAAATCAATGATCATTAGTTGTTTTCTATCGTATTTTTGTCTAATTTTTTTCAAATTTGTATTTTGAACCTAAAATTTATTATTTACAACTTTAAAATTAACCTCCCAAAGTTGGCCAAAACAGTATTTTGTTAATTAAAGCACTGATTTTTGTATGAATTTTGGCCTAGAAGTCATTCAGGACAGGCCTGCCCCTTGATAAAATTATGATATTCTGATAGGTAGTGATGTAAGGAATAATTTAAGATAGGATTTTTTTTAGGGGCACCCTTGCCCTGGGGTCGAAATCCATTTAAAACCTACAAAAAAAAATAAGGAATACTGTTTTTGAAAACCTGATTCACATTTATACCAATTAATTACAAAGCCAGAAAGCTCAATTGGTATAACATCCGAGTTTTAACATGGCAGATAGTTTTTAAGAGCTTAGAATAACCTGGTGCCACACTTTTTTTTTATTTTTAAATTCTTGCCTTTTCAAAGAATATTTTAATTTTTTTTATAGGGTCTTGTAATTTTCATCCAATTATCTATCTTTGCATGTTCATTCTTGATATAAAAGACACTAAAGAGGAAGCAGATCTTAAATTCCACTGTAACTAAAACACAGTCAAGCGGAACTATACCTCAGTATAGCACACTTTCTTCGAGGACAAGAATTACCGGGTATTCACTCTATGTTACTCGATACAGGTGCTGTTACTCGATTCTCGCCTACAATGAGCTGCGATGTATTTCTATATTCCTTAGAATTGAATCAATTCAGTGAATTACATTGCTTTTATTCCGTCTGTACTACTAAATAGTACTTGTCTGCGTTATTGCACTGGAAAGTATATACGCACTGCTTTTATTATCTAATATATTAAGAAAATGAATACAAACATGTACTGAGTCAATGTTCTAATTTCAGATCTCAAGTTTTGAAACAGTAGGATTACACGTTAGTATCTGCACCCCATGGATATAACTTATATAATTTTATATACATCATCGACATATTTTTCTTATATCCACGGAAATGTATTGTAAAATAAACACACATCAAGGAAAAAAAATTAGAAACTGTATAGGCATTACCATTATTTACAAAGTAAGGGGAAAAATCAAATAACATTCCGAGATAACAAACTCAAAATGCGTGAGCAATATCATGCTTCATAGTTACAATGTAATGTCTACTAAAAGGTTCTTTCTATCTCTACAGACTGAAATAAAATTGTTTTTGAGAAACGTATTTTTACATGTATGTAGCCTAAAGTCATTGATCGGAACAGAAATCGATAAGCCTTTTGTAAGGACTAAAACCAATCCCGGCCCTATATACTGTATTTGTTTGTTTGTATGTTGTTTAAAGTCCCTCTCGAGAATTTTTCACTCACATGGAGACGCCACCACTTGCCGGTGGAGAGCTGCAAATTTTGTCCTATGCTCGACACTTATGGCCATTGAGCAGTGAGGGATCTTTTTCGTGCCAGCACCTACTGCGACACGGGACATCGGTTAATACGGATACTGGGATTCGAACCCGCGACGTAAGGATCAACTCCTTACTTCGCGACTCTAGAGCAGATGCTCTAAACACTGCGCCACGCGGGCGACCCAACATACTATAGGTCTAATCTCTATTTATAAATAAGTGTTCCTTTAAAAGGAAATGTTATTTTATAATAATTATTAATCTCAACAAGTACCTTAATACTACAAAAGTGCATGAATATTATAGTTTTTTTTTTTGGACATGGAGTTGAGTCAGGCAAATAAAATATATACCATATATGGATAAGAGATATTTAACGTTTTATCAACAGAAAAAGCATTAACATCTGGGACCAAAAAATCAGTCTGTGCATAAATATCTCGTTTTTTGTATATGCGGTGCCAATTGATCTTTAATTAACTCTCTTGGTATTTTCCAGACATATAAAATAATTATGTTACTAAATTTATGTCTCTGGTCTTTTTTGACTAGAATTTCAAAACTTAACTTTCATTTTTATTTTGATGTTTTAAAAACAAACCCTATGATCACTGTAACAATACACTTCGAAAAAATGTACAAATTGACGTTGTTGGCTTTGAATTAATTTGTCATCGTTATGTAACGCCTCAACAAAATCAAGTTTGCCAGTGCGCCTCAAGCAGTGCCTCATAGATAAATCGATACTGCCATACTGTTTTGATCATACCATATCTGTCTTTCAGCATATTTCTGACAAACGAAAATATATTAACTTCGCGTTGTTTTTCGTACTCCAATAGTAACGCGTCTATGGCGATAAACACTCCACTTCTTCCGTCCTCTTGACTACAGTGAACTATTATGGGAGCAAGAGATGTACCCTGGCATTTCCGGACAACCTCACGCATGGAAATAAAATCTTTAGTGTTTTGAGGCAAATAATAACGATCATCATCGGGCCATTGTAAATCGTGAATTATGTACAGACCCCTAGAACTTTGATCCAGAACATTCTTTACTTTCATGTAACGGACGGCACACTCATGAACAGATATATCTTCACAGTGAGTCAGTTTGAATCTGTCAGTGACTTGGCCAGCATGGCGAGTTATCTCGGACGGGAAAATGTCTGGTTGTTGCGATAACTTAACGACGACTCTTGTTCCTTCTTGTAAAACCATCCGCCAAAACTTCAGAGCAGAAGGTTCATCGTGTGGTGTTCGGGCTGCAATATAACGAGGACAACCATCCCTTGTTCGATCTTTTATATAACTTGCATTGATGTAATCATCTGGGCCCTCTGGTTTCAAAATGACCCTGGAATGGTCGTAAGACTCTAGGCACAGCTTGTGAGAGGGGATGCCCGCCTTTTGCCTTGCAATATTTGTGGTCCCTAACATACCTGTAGGTAGAGATTTGAATTCCAGTTCCAGAGACACCGTCTGGGGACGATCAGTCTCGTAAAAACTTGTCACTTTGTACTCATCTGATTTTTCCTCGTGTGGCAAAATTTTCCGTTCATCAAGAAAAGAATACGTCTTGCTCCAGAACTTCAAGACGTCTTGCTCTCGATACTCGCCCCGCATAGTACTACCAGTTTCCCGTAAAGAATGCGATTTCTTTCTTCTACGATCAGGACTTTTCCTAATACTGACACGTCTGTCAAGGTCATTCGTATGATTTTCCATTTCTATTGAATCAAGTCTATCTTGCTGCTGAGCTTTACTTGACTGTCTCAGACTGCCACCTCGTGATTTCCTTGGGGGTTTTAACACCTTCATTTCGTCATCACTCCCAGAGGATGGATAAAAATCATTAAATTTACGAAAATTTCTTCTTTCGTTAAAAGAGAATGACTTGCTTGAATAATCATGCTTATTATCTTTACAATTCCTCAATGATTCCGCCCGGCGTTGTAAGGCGCGTTTTCTTTTGATTCGTTGTCTTTTTTTATCGTCACCATTTTCTTTAGAAATGCTTTCAATTCGGACGTTGGTTTCAGTTGAAACAGAATCCAGTATATTATCTGGTTTACTGTTCATTTGTTTTCTTCCCTGAACACTAGACGTTGGCGCTCTTCTGTTTTCTGACATTGCTTTAGAAGCTAATATTTTTCGTGTTCGCCTCATTTTAGTTTTTTTGGTGACTCCTCTTTCAGCTGAAGTTTGGGTTCCAATATCCATAGCACTAAAATTGGTCGAATCTAGATCACTGGTTTTGGAACGTGCGTTCCTGTTTCGGTCAACACTAGATATTTTTTCTGATTGTGCATAAGAAGACAATATCTTGTTATGTTGATGTGATATTTTGTCAATATTTTTCATCATCTCATCGAAATCTTCTTCCACAATAGGACTACATGCACGTCGTTTTAATTCTTCAAAGTTACTTTCGGTGGCGCTTCTGCGCAGACGATGACGTGGAGGTTTGGGAGGAACTGTCTTTTTTGTTACCTTTTCATTATTCGCGACTTCATTTTCTGAAGACACAATAGTTTTTGTCCTTTTATTGTATCCATTTTGCACCTTTTGTGGTGTTGACGGCTCTGATTTTCCAGCCAGATTCTTTTCATATTCACGATAAAGATTATTTTTTTGAAACATATCAGTATCGGACAATGATTTCTTTATATCCATTTTCCTTCGAGACTGCCGATGCCTATTTTCCAATTTCGACATTTCTCCTTCACAGGATGATGAACGCTTGATTGCCTCATTTTGATAAGGTTCATCTATCAAAGATGTGTTACCTAGCAACGATCCACTGATCGAGTCCAAACTACGACGAATACTTGCAGAAAGCATGAGGTTTGTACCACCCAGGTTAACAGCCTTCTCCCAGTCATATGTTGTTTCATTTCCATCGTACACTGATCTTGTTTCAGTATTTGTTTTCGATCGTTTGATAACAATACAAATGGACACAGTCCCAGGAATAAGAAGAACAACAATCAGAACTCCTATCACAACACCAGCGAGATCTGATTCATTGCTTTTCTCTGCAGTTACGTCTAAACTCTTTTGTGAAACAATGGTGAAGGAATCTGGATATTTCGTATAATTCGATCGAAGAATATTCTCAAACTTAATGACTATCTCTATGTAAAAAATGTACGTATGTTTTAACTCGAGTATTATGTTTTGGACGCCATGCCTGGTGGTATTATCGCCAAGTACGTAGATTACACTCTGCGCAAGGTCATTTTTATCCAGAATAAGAATTACAGTTCCAGTTGGACCCGTGTTTCCAAAACGATTTCCCACATCTGAAGTTCTTACTTCATCGATATAAACCCTTACCATGTAAAAATGCTTTTCGGTGACAATACCTGGATTCAAAGTCAGTGTAAGTTGTTGGTTTGTATAAGATATCATTGGTATTGGTGGTTTTGCAGGTGTAGCTGGGAAAGTGAAGGTCGATCCGTTGAGACCGGGACCGTAACCGACGCCAGACCTTGCTTCAACTCTGAAATGGTAGTACTCCCCAGGCTCCAATCTAGTTATAAGGACCTCAATCATGGCAGATTGGAATGCATAAAACAAAACCTTCTCATCGGAATTGCTTCTTTGACGATAAGTAATCTGGAAAGCAAATGACAATGGTAAGCTAAGCAATGTGAGATTTCAGAACTCAAATGCATGACTCATCTTGAAAATTTTACTCTACCTTATATCCTTGAATAATTCCTCTGGTAAAATTAGGAGATTTCCATCGTATTCCAACTGTCGTCTCGTTTTGAAAAGTTACTGTGAATTCGGTTGGACTACCAGGTGTATCTTCTAATGTCCTCAAAGTTCGAATTGTGCTGAAACTTCCCCACCCTACACTTGTTCTAGGTTGTACCTAAAGAGAATGTGCATTTTTCGTATGATTGTAATCAACTTTATCGAATGATTGTAATCAACTTCATGAAATTAATCCAAAAACATTTCTACAGTTCCCATGCCATTACAGCATTCAACGTGCCTCCCCCCTCCCCCGCTTGAAAAGCGGGCAGTATATAGTGATGGGGGCATGAGTAACACTTGGGAGTACCCATCTCTTATCCACAACTCCTCCTATACCACTGAATAAAATTTGATGAGACTTTCACAGAATCTTTATTATAGTGCCATTGTACACTTCCTATTTCACATTTCGATCGGACAGATGTATTTGGGGTTTCCCATTGCAAAACTTGGACACTGCCATTCTTTCTATAATGCTGGGGATATCCATCTCTTATCCGCAACTCCTCCTATACCAATGAGTATTTAATGAGACTTTCACAGAATCTTTAATGCCATAAAACATCTCCTATTTTACACTTCGATCGGACACATATTTGGTTTCCCATAGCAAAACATGGACTTTGCATTATGAGCGAGGGGGAGGGGGGTATCATTTTGTGAGCTCAGTGCTCACACTACCCCTAGTTCAATTCTTTAACTAAAATGAATCTGTCTTAGTGAGTGCATATCGGAACATACCTTGATGTTATATGATGTGTAGGCTGTAAGGTTTTTGATTGTAACAGATGTGACATCACTGTCCCTGGTTATCAGTGTTGAAGTCCCAATTTCTTCAACCGTCACTTTGTATTTTGTAATAATACCATTCCTTTCTAAAGGGGGTGTAAAAATAACTTTGATTGCATTATCTAGTGGTGTTAACTTTATGATTGTTGGAGGTCCTGGCACTAAAATATGAAAAAAAATAATTGCTAATCATTTAACCAAACAGATACATGTGTACATGCATATTGTACTAGCAGAACAAAGAGAATGCGTTTGGTCCAAAGAAAACTGCAAGTTTCATGTGCCCAAAAACCTTTCTGAATGTTCTATAAATCTGTTTGATATTTATTCTGATCTTTACTTACCATCTTCATGGGTTTGAAAATTTATTGGATGTGTTGAAGGCCCTGGTCCAATGTCGTTTTTAATGATTATGATAACAGAATAATTTGTGAATGGTTTCAGAGAAGCAACTTGAATGTTCAAATTTTTCGTCCGAAGTCTGATTTCATTCTTGGTGTCGCTCACCCATACTGAGCATGTGTAACTGACAACGTCACTTCCCAGAAAAGGGCACATTGGTGCCTCCCATCTCACTTGAACTGAATTCGAGGTTATCAAAGTAATTCTGACATCTCTGGCAGATCTAGACGGCACTAAAAGACCACATGTTCTTTAGTTTTCAAATATGACACGTTTAATGTACTAGTAATCCATTACTTCTCATATAAAAGCTTACCTTCTTTTGGCGTGGTGTACTCAAGTACTGTCAAGGGTGAGTGACCATTTGAAAAGTACTGGTGATACTCAATCCGGATTCTATAGGTTCGCCAGCCATCCCAGCGAGAGATCCGGACCTTCCTTAGGTCCCTATCAAATACACAAAATTGTTAAAATTGTATTGGGATTTTCGATTAAACCGACATGCTGTTCTTTTATATACAGGCTGTACTTGCAATGTTAATGGATAGGAAATCCAGTCGATGTCGGTGTTGTTGTAGCAGTTTCCAACGCCAACCAATCCAAAGAAAAGAGTACCAGACTTCATCAGATATGTGTATCTTTCGTCCAGTTGCCAAGTTATTAGAAGGATATGAAGACTTGTATTTAATGTTATGGACAGATTTTTTATCATCAGGTCTGAAATATTTTTTTTAAAAAAGGAGTTTAATTAGTCGCAGTTCGTTATATACTTCATTATTTATACATATATAGGTGTTTTTTTAAAAATCAGCAATTAAAATTTTTAAAGAATTTGCCATTTTTATTGGAATTGTTCGTACCAAGCTCTCCGCTTAATGGTCCATCGTCATCTCTTGTGGTACGTTCTGTTGTCTGTGTCTCTTTTGTTGTCATTGTTGTAGTACTGAATGGCAATGTTTGAGTTGTTGTTTTCCTGGCAGACAATGTTTGAGTTGTTGATTCTCTGGCAGACAATGTTTGAGTTGTTGTTTCACTGGCAGACACTGTTTGAGTTGATGATTGTCTGCTAAACAATGTTTGAGTTGTTGATTCTCTGCTAGATAATGTTTGAGTTGTTTCACTGGCAGGCAACGTTTGAGTTGTTGTCTTACTGGTTGACCATGTTCGTGTTGTTGTTTTATAAGTGGAAGCCGAACTTGTTGATCTGGATTGAAAAGTCCGGGCTACACTTGATTCATTCCAGTTTGTTGCTGTGAATGAAATTTTTAATGCTGGGTTCAAAGGTCTAACAGTAGGTATATCTCTCAAATGGATAGAGAAAGAAAGGAAGAAAGAAATAGGCTTTCTGAAAGATCAGTTTAAGTATGTTGATAAGGTTATCTCTGCTCTGCAAAATGAATTCATTTGTGTCCTTTGCTTTTATGAAAGCAAGGGGACATTAAATCTCATTCGTCTGTCAGTCAGTCGCAAAAACTTAAACCTTTGTCATAACTTTGCATGAGAAAAGTTGGGCCTTTTGTATTTCTAATGTACAATATGTATGCTGAGACTTTTCTAATGGTTTCTATGATTTTTGAATCCGTGACTTTGAACTTGAAGTTTGGCGACCTTTTCAAAAATTTAACATGGATGATAAATTTTAAATGAGAGAGGATAGGGCGCTCATTTTTGACATGCTCAGTACCTGTGACCTTTCCAAATGTACTATAATTTTTGACCCCATGACCTTGAAGTTTGACCTAATTTCCAAATTTTTGATATTTTTGACATTGGTAGTAACTTTTGAATGAGAGAAAATAGGGCATTCATTTTAGACACGTGTAAAACCTGTTAGAAGTTCTTTCCGAATATACCATGGTTTTTGACCACGTGACCTTGACCTTGAAGTTTGACTTACTTTCGAAAAATTTTAACATTGGTGACAACTTTTGAGTAAGATAGGTTGTTTATATTTGGCGTGTGCATTACCTGTGAATTGATCTTTTGAATGTACTTGACTTTTGATCCCTTGACCTTGAGGTTTGATCTTCTTTTTAAAAATATTTTAACATTGATGATAACTTCTGAATTAGGGAGAATAGGGTGTTTCTATTTAACATGTGCCATATCTATAAAAAAAAAAGAAGACCTTTCTAAATGTACTGTAATTTTTGACCCCCTGACTTTGAACTTGAACTTTGTCCTACTTTTCAAAATTTTAACATTGGTGATACTTTTGAATGAGAGAGGAAAGGGCTTTCATTTTGACATGTGTAATACCTGTGACAAGACCTTTCCAAAGTCCTAAATGTTTTACCCCATGACCTTGAAGTTTGACCTACTTTTCAAATTTTTTAACATTGGTAAAACTTTTTGAATGAGAGAAGATATAGCATTTATATTTGGTATGTACATTTCCTGTTAAAGACCTTTCCAAATGTAATAGTACTATGGTTTTTGACCTCATGACCTTAACCTTAAAGTTTAACCTACAGTTCTTTTCAAAATTTTTAACATTGGTAATATCTTTTGAATGAGAGAAGATAAGGCTTTCATATTTTACATGTGCATTACATGTGACAACACCTCTCAGAAAACTATAACTTTTGACTTCCTGACCTTGACCTAGACATTTTACCTACTTATAAAAAAAATTAACTTTGGCCATTACTTTTGCTCCAGAAGAGACGGCTTTCATATTTTTTTCAAATGTGCATTACTTGTGACAAAACCCTTCGAATTGCATTATGACGTTTGGACTCATGACATTGATCTTGAAGAATTCAGTCTTAAGAAACATTAATCTTTGTCGTAACTTTTAGTAATTCAAAAATTATATCTTTTTTGTATGATGGGTAGACAAGAAAGAACATACAGACAAGACAGTTACAACATGCCGTAAATAATTGCATCCCAACCACTAAGACACCAAAAGAGGGAGACCACAATTCTTTGAATTTGCTTGCCTATGTTTGTTTGTTTGTTTTTTCAAATGCCCTGTAGAAAAAAATGGACTTACTAGCACTTCTGCACTGAATAATGACTGGGTCAGAAACGGGCCCGTAGGTGTAATCCGGTAATATTTCTTCGTATTCAGAAACTCTTATGTTGACACGGAAATAGTATTCATGACCAGTCTGTAAATCGGTAATATTATCAACATAATTCCTGGTGGAGTCGTTGTGTTTGAACAGTTCATATTTTGTAGACCACTGGGTTTCTTGGACTTTCTTAAAATCTATTCTGCAAGAAGATTTCTTTTGACAGTTATCTCAGTAACTGAAATTGAGTGGCCTTCTTACGCTACAATGATTTAACCAATCACTTTTTATCTCATCTACTATTTAAATGTATATATTATTTCCTCATCAAGAACAACTTTTAGTTTTAGAAAAAAGATTTGAAGAAATGTAACGGTATGTTAAAAATTATTTAACAGAAGGATATGTAATCTATATACTGTATGTGTACATAAAAAAAGCGGGCGTCATATTTTAGCGGCTTTGGCGGAGACAACGATGCGCTAATTCATGAATAACGCTAATAAATCATTTATAAATACAATATACTGCACCGACATGTATAACGCTAATTCATGAATTCGCCAACAACTCCATGCCCAGTGATTTGCGCTAAATTTTGACTACGCCAATTTTTGTACACGTACAGTATATTATCATGATGGTGACATGTTTATACAGAAAAACTAACTGATAGGCATGAACTTTGATCCTAGTGTCTAAATCAGAATAATTTCCGGTTCTCCAGCTAATTACTACTGTGCCACACTCCTCCCCAGTGTAAGCTTTTGGAGGCAACATAAGGGTTGGCAAGACTGCAAGGAAAACCGAAACAGTTTTAACTAAAAACCTCTCTTCAAAAGCAACTGATCAGACCTTCGACTTTTAAGAACAGGAGACTTAATATCAAGATCGACCAACCAGAAGAATTGTCATCAAATTGCGAATCGAAATCTTTTGACAGAAACACGTTGGACCAAACTTTTAGACACAATAGTTAGAGCTTCATTTTAGAAAAAAATCCTTTATCTTAAATCATTAATTCTGATATCAGCACCGTCTAATACTGTATTTTATAATAAGTCTGAGTATAAAAAGATAGCAAATCATTCTCCATTAGGTAATTCGAACATAAAGCAGCTCTACTTTCGATCATATACATGTATTTAGTTAAGATTACCAAATGAACAAGAAAGCCCGGTGAATCCATAGCTACACCCGTTCCTACAGGCGCCATTTACAGCCTTACACGTGGCGTTGTCTCGACAGTTACAGGAACTGCTGCAGTTTTCCCCGTAAAGTCCGTCTGGACAATCTAAAAAACATTGATTTAGAATTTAATGATTTATAGTATATGAAATACACATACTTTTTTCTGAAAACAAATTCTCCGACGATACAAGATCTAGAACAGTCCTCAGACTAGACGATAGTACTCATACTTTTCAAAAATATATTGACTACATCAAAACCACACAGGTTAATGACTTGGTTGTGTGTCGACAGTTTCTTCTCGCATTTTTTTTTTTTTTGGTCACATTGAAAAACCTTATTTTTACATCGGAAGATATAAGATATTCTGAAGATTTCTCCTTTATTTCTTATGAAACCCGATTCCCTTGAATCAATCGACTAACTTTAAAACTAGCTAGAAACATATTTTGAATTCACTGTGGTGAAGGGCTTCTTGAGGAGTGAGCTCTTGGAACCATCAATGTAACAGTTTAACACACGGATCAATTATAATACTATATTTTATAAATACTTACACCCACTTTATTTGAATAATTTATACAGATATAAAAAATAAAGTGTATTCCTTTGTTGTACTGGAATTAAAGGTTGCAACCATTGCAGAAAAAAAGACACAAGCTGCTCACGCGGGATATGTATACATTTTTTCTGCAATGGTTGCAACCGTTATTTCCCTTTTAACAAAGAAAGCATTTCATTTTTATAAAAATCTACAGTATAAAAAGAACAAATTAAATCAACTGATGATTTTTTATAAGAGTACTGGGTGTGCGCCGTTTACCCTTCAATTTAGACGCTAAGAGAAAAATTCTGCTTTATAGTTCTTTTATCTCTTTTATTTCTTTAACATCAAGACAAAGCAATCGGAAAGAAAATTGTGGCAAATTGATAAAACTTTTCGGGAAAAAAAATCATTATCAAAGTAATACATGTGTCTGGTATTTGGACCTGTAAAAGAAAATTTTGATATTACCATGCAAATATCTTGTATCTGCCTTTTGCACATGCTAGACATATACAAAATGTTTACAAGAAAAGTTTCAAAATAAATACGGTTTGTTTAAACTTGATTTTTTTAATCGAATACTTAAGCAATTTTTATTCGTACTCAAAAGAAGAAGGAAAATGTGTCATCCGAGAAGTTGTCCCTTGCCGGTAGACATGAAAATTTTAGATATCATCTTTTGTTGCTTTGTTTGATGTTGATTTATTTTAATTTTTGTTTTGTGTTAATTAACGGTCCTTTTCTCCTAGAATTGAAATGAACTGGTACATTGTTAATAAAGGCACGCAAAGCGGTGCATCCCCTCGCAAAAGAGCACATCGATCATTTCTTGCGTAACTTCCGTTACGCACTCATGCACTCACTCAACACCCCCCCCCCCAACACACACACAAGTGCGTCACTTTATCCCCCAACTTCGTTGCGATGGGATAAAAAAAAATTAAGGAAACTATTACCTGTGCAATCTGCAGAGTAGAATGCGGAGGAATATCCTGGAGTGAAGGCATTGACCACAGTGTTGTTTATGGAGATATAGACGTCCACACGGTATCTCTGACGTGGAGAGCCTTCTGGAATTGTGAAGAATACTTCAAATGACTGATCCTCATAGTGGTGATTGTAGCGGGAAAACACCTTCCAATTTTCTGGATCCGTCTCTGTGCTACTCAGTAAACTGTAAGAATCGTTGAGGATGTGTCATTGACTGGAATTTTTTTTTAAATTTTCAGTTTTACATATGAAAACCCAAAACCTGTTAAAGACATATACATGTACTAACTTGTAATGAGAAATTCTTGAATCTCCCGTGTCTTTTCTATATGTCCAACCCCGCCATCGAACGGACAAGATTCCACAATTTGTCTTCATCACTTCCGGAGGCGTCGAAAGTTTTGGAAGTTCTAAATGTACAATTTCTGCACAAGTACTTGTAGACAAGGATTCCCCTCCGATTATGTGCATTCTGGGGACACCCCCTCCTCTCCCCTGTATATAGTACTAGAGTGTGGAGAGTATCGTTTCCAAATTCAAGAATTGAAAACTGACTTTCTATAGTTATGATGTGTTGTTCTAATACTATTCTTTTGATATTTCACATGTTTTTCACTTCTTGATTTTGAAACCCTTCATATTTTAGCACCAATTTACAATGTGCATAATTTTAAGAAAATAAATCTAAGAAATAACCTAGAATAAACCTTTAAATTAAAAGTAATATGTTGCGGTGATATACTGTAAACATGTGACTTAATATCCCAAGTTTGTATTTCATTTATTCATACTTTTATTTGCATTATTATGCTAGAATACTAATTTATGAAAAAGAAATTTCCGAGGTGCACATTAATTCGGGGGGAAAAGGGGCGGGGTCAGCCTAGGCCTAATTTCAGCGAGTCTTCCGTCAGTACAAATTTTTTAGTCTCGACAAATCTCGCTGAAATTAGAGTCTGCCCAATTAGTGATGATTACAGCCTGTGATTTCATGTTTTTCAATGACCACATCCCACAGCCGATATTTATTCCTAAAGATTTGCAGATACATTTATTACATCAATCTAACGTTTTGAAGCGGATCTATAAGGGGTTTTATTTAAATAAGTATTAATTTTAAACCCAATATGGCTAGAAAGTCTGTCAACAATGCAAAATAATTTCCTTACAAATAAACAAAATATACTTACCTATGCATTCTGCTTCGTGGCAATACAATTCTGGTGAACAGGTTGGATCACATGAGCCTGAAAAAAATTATATTATATGATAGTCATTTAATCACCTCTCTCCTCTCTCTCCCTCTCTCTCTCACACACCACTTACCATTTGCTAGAGAGAAGAGTACTGGGACAACTATCAAGACAGATTTCCACTTCATGTTATCTTCATCGTACTTGTATATATATATGTACACGTTCCGTAATGTGATATTTACAAAACATGACCTTTAAAAATTGAATTGTTTCTTTGATTTGTCAGTAACAATACATTTTTGAAATGGAAAGTGAATTTAAAAGGAAACAGAGTTACTTCCAAAACAAAATGCTCCGTAATAGGGTTATCGGAAATTTAACCAGTCCAAATGTGCCTAATAAAAGCTAAAATTCATGCAGTTACATTGAAAAAAAAAAGCATTCATATACATAAAAAAGAAATATAAGGTACACAAATTTACAAGTGCCAGTTCAGGGTCACGTTTCCAATTGACTTTACATTTTATTATTTCTCTCATAATCTTATTATATTTATGGCAACCAGTACCGACTCCGTAACATGTACTGCATACTGTAAAATTATACAAATTATGACAATTTTCAATGAACCCAAGCCACATTCACTTGACGTTTAATACTAATTTTTTCTTTAAAATTTTTAAAAGTTATAGCAGGGACCTATATACTATAGTATATAGGTCCCTGGTTATAGCAACCCCCCCCCCCAAAAAAAAAAAAAAACCCAACCAACTCCTACCTAATAAATCACGTGATTTATTAAGTTGTCCTGCGTTTATATTTTTGTGATAAGAGTGCCTGTATATTTTTAGGCATACATTGTTTAACTGATGCCGGATATTTTTCATTGGTCCGAATGTTGGTTCTAAATTTTTCATAGCGCTAAGTATTTCCTCAAGAAAACAACGCTTGGAAAATGGAAAATGCGTGACAGGAAAAGTTACTTTTATTGAGTATTGTAAGGAAATATTTTGTCAAGACTTACATTGCAACATACAATTTTGATTTTTATACATAATGTTACACAATCATTTTATATTTTTATGTCGTCATTCATGTTGAACTGTATTACATGACTGTATGTTTAGCAGTTTAGTTTCTCTTTTGATACTTTGCCACCAAAGAATTCCATTATTCATTTGTCGGAACTGATCAGGAAATTTGGAAATTGATTACTTTTTGATATCGTAAAAAATCCTCAAATCTTCAAAGGATTCCTTATATAAGATTTTTAAAATACTTTTATCAAAGTTTCAACTTTGCTAGAAAGGCCTAAATTGTAGAAGCATTTCGAAAAATTAAAAAAAAAATATATCTGAGATAATTCAAGTAATATCAGGGACCTATATACTAAGTATATAGGTCTCCGGTAATATTTAACTTTGGAATAAGTGTTCCCAAATAGTCTGAGATGTCCTGTGCATGAACTGCAGTAGGTGCAGTATTATTTTTAAAGACTGACAATGTCAAAGAACAAGAAATGCAAACAAGCAAGTGGTGCAGATGCTATTATCAAGCCTGCATACTTACCTTTAATCTTTCTTACATATCCAGACTAATAAATAATAGATATTCACAACTTCACCATTAATATGTTTATTTACTAAAGTAGTGGAAGGTCACAGCATTATCTTAAAAATTACTCCTTATTGTGTATCAATTTTAATCTAAATTAAATGCAGTCACAGATCTAGGATTTTGCATTAGGGGGAGACATTATTGGGTATCAAGCGTTTTGGGGACTGCCAATGCCCCTAGTTAGCCCAGGAAACTGTCTGGTGGGGGTTAGGGGAGCCCCAATGAGCCTTTGTGAATCAGCAATTGGAAAACCATATTTTGACACCAAAATATATGTAATTTTACCTGTATGTTATCGATGTATGACATTGAAAACAATGTCTAAATTTTTTTTGTTTAATGGGGGCACATGCTGGGAGCACCCCCAACTGAATCTGCACCTGAAATTAGTATTAATTTTATAATACATGCAGTGTTTTCCCCAGAAAATTTTCAATGCATGGGGGGAAATTTGCTGAATTGATGGCGCGCGGCGTGTCTTATTGAGTTACTTGTGCATGTATCTGAATTTATATTTAAATGAAAAATACAAATTCATTCATTTATATTTTTTTTTAATTTAAATGATATATTTTGAATATATTGTCAATTTAACTTTTAAAAAAGCTAAACAATTGAGTTCTCTTTTATAAAAATAGATCTAATCACAAAAAATTGTTCTATTTTAGTTTCCTCTAAAGCCATTGTCTTGTTATCATGTTTATGCTTGCTTTCTACAAACTGAATAGACCCCTAGTGACCCCCCCCCCCTTTTTTATTTACTACATTTTTTTTTTCTTTTGGATGTCCCTACTTTTACAGTCATTTTTAAACAAAAAGGGTGCACATTATGTAGCACCACTGCTTACATGTAAATATTGTGACAACATATTTAGTACATTTGTGTCTGATTTTTTTTTAATTCAACGTAAGCTGTTGAATGTAGGTCAAGCATGTGCGCTTGAACGAAGTATTTGCCCATAGTTCATAGAGTAAATAAACAATGATAATATTTATTGGACATGTTTATTTTAAGCATATTTTTGCTAAAAAATGGCTTTAAAATTATGTGTTTCACTAATGAATCATTTTTTATGTCGGAACATCACTGCTATTTATAGAATGACCTGTGGATGTTGGAAAAAACCCACATGTGCATAAAACAAGTGTATTACTTTCACCGTGTGTATTATCTGACAGCAATTAATAAATTTTTCATGCTTATAAATATTCTTAATCAAATAAAAGCTTAATACTTAGTAACATATTAGTAAATTGCAATAAACATAAATAGACAACTATTGCATCATACCACGTACCGCGATTCGCATCGAGTTCACCACATGTGCGCAACATGTGTACAGTTCACGCTGTGATTCTAGTGATTTGAATTGTTTTATTGAAAAATTAATAACTGATAACAATTTCAAAGTATATCTTCTTCTTTAAATAGTCTACCTTTAATAATTCATGCATAGCGGGAAGCATAGCGGCAATGTGTGATGCATGGCGGGGGATCCTGAATGCATGGCGGTACCGCCATGCAAAAACGGCCTGGGGAAAACACTGCATGGGTGTATGATTTGTAAAAATATTAAAATGTATATTGATTAATAAAAGCAAACTAAGCAAATTAAAGAGGTCAAAGGTCGAAATTGGTGAAATCTTGGGAGACGTGGCCAACCACAAGTTACCTGTTGCTTTTTCAGATTTCACCTTTCTGGGTTCAACATTAACTTTAAAACAAACTTGTTCAGTCAAACATGTACAATGTACCTGAAAATTTTATTAGACCAGCTGACCTCAACTTCATTAAAGACCTGACCTAATATCTGTGGATCATTGACTGACTCAATTAATATGAATTACAAGAATATTAACATGAAGAAAAAAAAAAGAAACAGAGTTGAATAACTACATCGTTATTATAAACAAATCGATGCATATGGTTATTGTAAATTGGTTTTGGTGTAAAAAAAAATATATAATTATGATATTGAATTTCAATAAACTTTTTTAATTGAGTTCAAGAAAATTAAACTTTTTTAATTGAGTTCAAGAAAATTTCAGAGAAGATGTATTGTCTTTCAACTCATTTTAGTTCTAGGTCTGGTTAAATTAAAACAGTTGTCATAAATAAAATGACCTAGCAGGAAGGATAACTCTTGGTAGAGTTAGCATTTACAAGAAAATCATAAGGTGGCAAGATTAATGAAACATTGATATATATATATATATATATATATATATTAATAATAGTAATTGGTAATTTAAAACTGTTAGATTGATGTAGATTCTATGGATTTGAATAACCTGCATAAGTGTAGTTAGATCCTGCATGATCGAAATACCTATGTAGTCTGCTGCTAGAATGCACGATTTAATTTTGAAAGGAATCAATACAGAAAGGAAGGGGATAACTATGAATCATACACAAGTACATGTATATAAACATACAGTCAAACCATGATATTTCTAACTCGATTGATACCGAGAAGAAACTGAGAAATATCCAAGGATTATAGATACCAAGGTGCAAATATAAAAAAAAAAATTTGGACTTCCAAATCATTTTGACATATCCATGGTACTCAAGATATTGGTGTTTGAGATGCCAAAGTTGTCAAAATGGAGAATTTTCAGTAAATTAGAGTAGTTAACAGTTTAGTTATAAAAAGTCTGTTTCAATGATTTTAGAAACAACTGTTACAGTATTTAATTTCTTTTAATGTATGTTCAATCATAATAATAATATCAATCTAATTTTTTTTTTACAAATAGAATACTGTAAACCAACTATAATTCAAGTCATCTGATTTGTCAATCTGCGACGATTAATTTTCGCGACTGAGAAAACATTCTCTACAAATACAAAGCAAAATAAATGGTCCACGGTGATTAATATTCACGAGTTAAAGTAGGACGCGAAACTCGCGGATATTTCTTGCATGAGAATAAAAGTTGGTTTACAGTAATCATAATCTGTTATTGTCCAAAATAGAGTAAACGTAATGAAATACAAATTTTATTTCATTATTTTATTTTAATGTCTCTTTGGCACTGACACTTTGTTTCTTGATCAAAAAAGATAATACTTAAAAGATGCATGCCTTCAATGTCTGATGAAGCATCTTGTCTAATCCTGCAGAGCAGACTGTAATTACACAGACATTTCTTTAAAAATAATTGAGGTTATTAATTCTGGTCTTCAAAATTTGTATTCCTCTTGGCAATCTAAGCCATCAAGAAGATACTCTGTGAAAACTAATCGGATCATGTCCATCATGTTCATTGTATTCTGTAAAACACCTATAACAGCAAACAAAACCAGAGATCAGTCTAGAGGTCTCTGATAAAAGAAAATAATACATGTAATTCTGTATTATTTTTCTCACATAAAGTACACAAAATTCAAGTAACCGAGTAGCAGTTTTACTAACCAAGTGGCAACAATCGCATTTAATGGTTAACTGGGTATTTGTTGACAATACTAATAATTTATATACAGGTATATTTCATGTAATAAGATGTATGAAAACAAAATTCACAAAAAAGTATTGAAACTACATATCTGAAATGCTATAAATTGACATGTGCTGTAACATGATATGATGAATGCAAATGCTTTGGAATCATTTTAATTCGGGGGGCATGGGCAAGCAAAACTTTATTGGTTTGTGGGGATGTAATTTTGTGAGTATTTTTGTAACTTGTATAAACAGAAGATTCAATGAATAAATATGTTGACAAAATAATTGTTCATAGGGATGTACATTGGTGGATAAGTGTGACCCACAAAATCCACAAACATTGGTCCCCTATGAACATTGATGATTCTACAATACAGTGTAACCTGTAAACTTGTATATATATTTTACATTTCAGATAATGGATTCTAGTAATATGTCTCAGGAGGACATTCCCTCAGTTGTGGAAAAATTTCGGAGTCCATATGAGAGCCAAGTAGAATGGGACCTAAGAAGAGCTTTTATGATAGCTAACTATGGTACAGTCAGCATGGAGTCCTTAGTGTGCCTAGCCAATTGTTATTTAAATGTTGAGATGTATGGATGTAGGTATCCCAAGTTAGTTATGGATAAAATCAAAGAAATGAGTAGTGAACTGAACTCTCACAACTCCAATAAAACAGAGAATGCACCAAAGAGAATAAAGGGTTTAGAGACTGTCAAGTTTGTTAAACAATCAGAAGCACAACCTGTTAAAAAACAGACTGTGAAACCTTCTTTAGGCAGTGAACCTAGTGCTAAAGGGAAAACAACCAACAAAACATCTGTTGCTTCATCAGGGAAACCCCAAAACCAGGCTACAAATTCAAACAGTACCCCTAAGGCAGCTAGCAAAAAGACTGTTGCACCAAGTTTTCACTTTGTGAGAGCAAGCACAGAATTTCACAGCACAGATGTGGCCACAGAAAGTGTGAAACAGAAAATGAGAGAGGATTTTCTTGAGAGTTGTCAACCACAGCCTGTAGTACATCCACAATTGAGTGCACAGAATTCTCAACAGAAAACAGGATTAGGGTTCTCTAAGAAGGGTAAATCCCCAAATGTTGTAGGTCCAGAAATTCCAACCAACTCATTCATAAGTGAAGAAGAGAATCAGTTTCATGCATTTGCCAATCATTATGCCACTTATAAGAAGAACCATTCACAGCGATCCCCTGTGGACATTTTTCACATGGTTGCTACAAAAACTAGGATGAAGATCGACACGCAATTCAGTGATGTATCTGTTAAAGGAAAACCTAAGTTTGTCTGCACTGTTATCATTGACAATATAGAAGTAGCCACAGGGGAAGATTCCAATAAAAAGGGTGCTAAAAACAAAGCCTTCGAAATTGGACAAGAAAAACTGTCAAGGAAATACCTCAAAGTAGTGAGAGTTAACCCTGAGAAACAGGAACTTCAGGCTTTTGATGAGGAACCGAAAAGTGAACCAGGTTTTATAGCTGAAGAACCAGTTGCAGTGGCACCCAAACCTGGACACCGTAAGAGAAAAGAAAGTGAACTCCATGGTGATTTAACAAGGTTCATCATCTTCGAGAGATCAAACATGGATCAGAATGCCATATCTATTCTACAAAACAGTGCTGCTATGAACCATGCTAATCTAGAATATGATTTTCATGTGGATATGTCAGGGACACGTTGCAGGGTGCTGTTAGAGGGGCATAATCTGGTGGAGTATATGGGAACCACAAAAGCTACGTCCAAATCTATTGCTTCCGAGAAGGCTCTAGAAAGATTGAGGCAGATCTGTTATACCATCAAAATCAAGCAAGCAGTAGATTCCAGTGAGAGCGATGTTGGACGAGATGAGGTGATGGGAGAAATTCAGAAACAGGTACATTGCACTAAAATAAGTCTTAGAAAAGTTAAAATATATTCCATTCATATTTAAGTTTTATAAAAAGATTTTTAAAACTTACTTGTCCATATGACAAATACAGCTATTTAAATGTCTAAGGAAAAAAAATTTCTTCATGTTGAAATTATTCCCATTTCTGTACAAACTGTAACAGAGTTTTAAAAGATTTGTCTTTTCTACTTTCATATACTGTACATCACTTTTTATTCGCGAGAACTTTGTTTTCGCGTGATTACGCGAGACGGTCTGCTTGTGAAAATATCATTCCCGTGGATATTTTCATTAGTATAGGTTATATACAACAATACCCAGAATTCGTGAAAATTTTGTCTCGCCTATAAATGCCAAATACCTATCTCGTGAAAATAGGGTGTCATGAAAAATTTGGTGATCTACAGTAATGTTTGTATGAGTAATGACTAGTCAGTTTAATTAAGCTGATTGTTAAAAAAAATCATTTGATATCAGTAGATTATGAATGTAATAACAGATACCACATTTATTTTTCAGGTTTCAGCCATCCCTGATGACAACATAGGCAGCCGCTTGCTCAAGAAGATGGGCTGGACAGGAGGAGGAGTTGGAGCAGAGGGAAACAAGGGATTGGCTGAACCTGTGGCTGTCACCTTGACTAACCACACCCTTCTCAACAGACAGGGACTGGGACTACATGGTGACCATGCCAAAGCCATGGTAGACTTCAAAAAGAAAATCACAGAAGTGATAGACAATTATGCCAAGTCGGACAAGCAGGAAGACCTAGCATTTGCCCCTGAGTTCAGCAAGGAAGAAAGGGCCTTCATCCATCAATATTCTCAAAAGCTGGGACTGAAAACTCAGAGTAGAGGTTCAGGTAATGAGAGATATTTAACCATTTCTCGCAAAAGAAGTGTCTCACAATTGTTTGACCATATCATGGAAGAAGGGGGGTCTACACAGAAGTATGAGCTTATTGCTCCATTGTACGACTCGTAAAGATCATGAAAATCATTGCTAAATCCCTTGAATGACTTTTTTGTGCCATTTTTGTTTCATGTTTGCATATTTACGGAGTTGATAGTGAATATTCCCTGAATTTAATTAAAAAATAACTTGGACATTGTTATACATACATGTATGTAGGCTTTTATTTTTTTGTCAAAGTTCTTTCTTAGTGACAGAGGAATAGGTATATCTATACTTATAATGTTAGTTGACAGTAACAGTAATATTAGAGATCATGCATGTCATATGACTGTAGAAAAATGCCAACCACTATTTTATTTCCTTTGAGGTATTCTCCTCTGAGGTAAAATTCTTAAAAGTTTGTATTTATTGTGTTGTTTTGTTTGTTTGTATTATAATTGCAATATTTTTCCTAGAATGAAAGAATGGTTTTATTTCAATAAAGGAGCTTGTCATATTTCTTATATATATCTAAATTTTTAGTTTTGATAATAACATTGATTCAAAAAATCATACAAAAATAGTCAATGAAATACACATGTAAAATCACAAAGCACATATTAGACAAACAATAAAGAAATTTGTTTGGTGTACTCCGACTGACACATCAAAATCATCCCTATACCTGATAAATTTTTTTCAGTATATTAAAATTCTAGTTTTTTTTTTGTTTACCAAGAAATACAGATTGTCTATATCATTTTTAAAGTTAAGGTTTATCGTTTCTTTGAGATGCTTTTTAGATGAAAATTTGTACCAAAAATTATTGAAATTTGTCTAGTTGTTAGGTGTATAATGAAAACTTCAATAAATTCAAAGTCTGTGATGATTATATATGTGTTTGGATTAAAAAAAAACACATATACCTACCTACCCACTCAGTGGCACTCACCTTGAAAAATGGGGTCAGAGTACATCAAAAAAAATTTTTAATGATGGCCTAAGCTTATACAAACTTAAATCTAAAGGGGTTTTGACTCTTGACATTAGTAAATGTAAATATTTTTGTATAATCATTTCATTATATCCATTTTTCACCTTTCCCAGGATATGCATGCAGAGAGCTTTTTTGAAATAGATATTTTATAAATTTCTCTGTCCATTTTTACAGCCTTAGGTACATGTGTATGTATGTCTTTTACACCATCCAAAGCAGATATGTATATTTTTTCATCATAATGTACATTAAGTCACCTGTCATATATAAATATATTGTGTATGATGTATGTTTATGAAAGATGGCACAGACTTGCCAGTGCAAGAGTGATTAGATTCTGATGTATGTGTCAGCAAGTCCTAATTTGATGTAACACCTGGTATATTTTCCACACTTGCAGGATTGTTATGTAATGCACTTAGTTATTGTCCCAATCCAAGGACATTCTGTCTTCAACATGTTCTATAACTACCAGTGTTAAAGTGATGTACATTAAGTCTTCATTTTTTGAGTGCTGATTTTATTTTTTAACCCATTAAAGATATTTTATACAGGAATCATTTTGTCCATCTGTCTGACTGCTTATCTGTGTGTCTCTGTCATCCACTAAGTTTCAAATTCTGATGGAGAAGCTTTAGTAACAAAAATTGTGTGTAATGACCCTGAACCAAGATTATTTCTTCAAGGTCAAGGTTGTCAAGGTTTCAGGGATAACAGCTATAAATCTGTGCTTAAACAGTAGCACTCTTTAAACATATTTCTCTGAAGCCTACTTTTGATATAAAGGAATTCTTTGAGAGGACTATGTCATGATCCTGCATGATGGCCCATTTTGAGAAAGGGGGGGGGGGGTGTGTGTGTTAAAAAACACAATAAAAAACAAAGTGACCCCCCCCCCCCTTAAAAAAACTGTATTGTTTCCCACTCCCAGGGGGATATTTATTCAGTGTTTTTGTGCAGTATTAGTATTGTTTTATTCAACAGATATTATATTAAACATAACTTTTTTTACTAAGAAGAAGTGTGCTAGAGAAATATGCAGCAAATTATTGTACATGTAAATGATTTATAAGAGATATGTTTTCTTTGATATGCAAAATGCTGTAATTTGTAGATTGGATAATAAAACAACAACAAAAAAGAGAAAAAATTGTTTTGAAACATTTTCATTATGGATTCATTTGTTCAATGCTCTTTATTTCCTCTTAAGTACACGTTTTTCCATGTTTTCCGTGTTGGGTTCTGATAGTAATATGTTTTCATTGTTTCAGTTATAATACAGCTGTCACACTGGTCTTCCTCTGAATATCAAGATAATGGGGGTAAAATGTTGATTGAACATGTGTCTTTTTACCTTTACCAGTATTTTTAATCATCTATATATGTATAATTTAATGAAGAAACTTTAAACAGTTATAAAGTAATTTCTTTGATTCTCCAATCAATTGTGCTAGCAGATAATACATGTATTTCATTTGAATTCATTCTTGGAATATTCACTAACCGTAGGCTAATTTTTTTAGCTCACCTTAGCTGAAAGCTCAAGTGAGCTTTTCTGATCACCCATTGTCCGTCATCCGTCCATCTGTAAACTTTTCACATTTTCAACTTCTTCTCAAGAACCACTGGGCCAGAAAAGCTAAAACTTATGTGGAAGCTTCCTGGGGTAGTGTAGATTCTAAATTGTTCAAATCATGGCCTCCAGGGCTAGGGTGGGGCCACAATAGGGAATCAAAGTTTTACTTTCTCAAGAACCACATGCCCTGGACCAGAAAAGGTGAAATTTATATGGAAGTTTCCTGGGGTAGTGTAAATTCTAAATTGTTCAAATCATGGCCCCGTGGGTTGGGTAAGACCACAATAGGGAATCAAAATTTTACATTGAAATATATAGGAAAAATCTTTAAAAATCTTCTTCTCAAGAACCACTGGGTCAGAAAAGCTGAAACTTAATATGTGGAAGCTTCCTGAGGTACATGTAGTGTAGATTCTAAATTGTTCAAATCATGGCCTCCACAGCTAGGATGGGGCCATAATAGGGAATCAAAGTTTTACTTTGAAATATATAGGAAAAATCTTTTAAAATCTTCTCAAGAACCACATGCACTGGACCAGAAAAGGTGAAATTTATATGGAAGCTTCCTGAGGTAGTGTAAATTCTAAATTGTTCAAAATATGACCCCAGGGATAGGGTTGGGCCACAATAAGTATTACAAGGAGGAAAATCTGGTGAAGAACAGTATGGCCAAAGTGACTCATGTGAGCATTGTGGCCCATGGGCCTCTTTTTTTTTTTTTGGATTGCTTATTTTATTGGCCAAATCTTTGCAATTGGGAAAAAGCACACCAACAAACACAAATGTTAAAACACGTGAAAAAAAGGGGAAAAAAACTGTAAGATTTGCTAAGAAGATACTTTTTAGACCTTGAACTTTGGTATTAACCTCCTGTTTTTCATTCAAGAATATACATTTTATGAAATCAAATAAACTAACTCGAGCTGCCTTGAAACTTAAGCTGATGGCTCTCCTCATAGAAACAGAACTGAAATCTATGAGAAATACTGTCGAACTTTCATAATCCATCACAACTCACGAAAAACAAAATCCTAAGCTCACGCATAGCTTTGATTTCTGGTTTTCATAAGATTAGCTCAAAGTAGACATATCTGCGTGTTGTAGCTATTTTTGGACCAAACCAAAGAGAGAAAGCCCGCCGCCTATACGTAGGTTGCCCTATTTGGCAGAATGCATCGTTAATGTCTAATAAGTTAAGAAATGAGATGTTAAGCTTTAACCTCCAGTCGCTGTATTACTCAATTAGTCCTGCGAGGAGCTTTCAAAAAATCCAGATGCCGTGTCGAAAGTCATTCCCCTGTCTTTTGGTTCAATAATGAATAAGTAGACGTGTAGAATTATCTCCGAGAGACGCTTTGAAGGCTAGTAAAATGCGTAGCAAGTAACGAGAATTGTTGTGGGTTTTTTTTGCAGCCTTAAGCTTTATTATTAAGGAAGTTTACAAATATTTCAAACAAGGTCAAAACTACAAATGTTCCTACATAGATAATTTGCAGGTTTATCTTAATTTACATACTAGCAAAATTACTAATTTATGTACCCATCATACTCCTGTTAATTTGCATAGATTAAAATGTAAAATGGTTGAGGTAATCTTTTAATTTGAATTTGGAACTGTAACAAATAACATTGCTTTGATAAAAGTCAGTAACTAGTACATTTCATAAATTCGTATATAAATGTTAAATTAGACATGTAGAATAAACAAAGGGCGTTATTAACCTGAATTTTGGCAAAAAGGATATATTTCCCATTTCCTATGCCACTATTGTTCTATGTTTTGTGACTTCTTAATTATTGCAGACCCAGATATGTTGTAGAAAGCGTTTCGAAGAAGATGATTAACTCAAAATTTTCCAGTTACTGACATAATGTAAATATTTGCAGAGATGACCAAAATTCATATGCGCGTGTGGTTTCTTTGTCATTTTTTGGATAAAGGACTTAAATTTGGTTTAGTTTGTTCAAGTTCCTTGGTCACAGTTAAAATTTAAAAGTCTTATATAATTTAAAAGAACCTTAGCAAAATAATATAGACTAAAAATAATTGCTTTGCTGATTTCTTTTTTAAATTGTCATTCATATTAATAAATGTTGATAACTGGGTATTAATTGACATTGATGATTTATATTAATTTATAATAACTTATTCTGGGCAAGGTCTTCCGATTGTCTACAATTAGGGCCGTTCAAAGGCCCTATTCCCAATTCAAAAAAGTACCTTTTTTTCCCAATTGAATGTGTTCATTCTCTCAATCAGTCATTATCCCTAAAGATTTAAGAACATATAATTACGATAGATATATAATAACTGAACTAACTTGTTTTTCATGTTCTTGATTACAGAAGAACAGAAATTTAGTTGATAACAAACACCAGAAACCCAATGTACAATGATTTTAATGTATAATAATTTTCCCTAAAAGATTGTTAATTTTCCCAATTTTAACGGCCCCGGCCCCTGTCCCAAAAAGTGGTGCGAGAGACCTGCTGGGATAATATTATAGTGTCCTAATTGTGTAATTTTTTATGATACGTATTGTGGCTTTAAATCCAAATTTTGGGCTGAGAAAGGAAGCATCATTTTAACAGCGTTCCTCAGAATAAGATATTAATAAACATGTCTTGTTCGTCAGATAACTCGCTATCTAACTTATCTAAAGTTATAAAACACTTTGTAAAAGAAAATGAAAAATAAAACAAAAGTATCGCCCAAAAAACTTACACCGAGCACTCTGATGTCAAAAATAGGTCGTTTTCAATGGAAATATATTTCCAAGTTCAAGTAATGCAAAATTAACCTTACACCACAAATTGATAACTTTTTAAATCCAATTTCCAGCCAATTTTGCTTAGCATGCAATTACATCATTTTTCAAGATAATCGTGATTAAATAATAATGCTCCCCGCTCTGTGATCGATCGTAAACTTTCCTTCTGTAGAAAAAAATTCCACATTAATTGGCGCGGAGTTTATAACCATTCATAACCCCTCGGGATTGTTCACACAAAGATGTTCTATATATACAGCTGCAGCAACTTGACTTTCGGAATGATTTGACGGAATCCGTGTTTTTGCCAATATACAGATGAGCTTAGCTACAGAAGCTCCCACAACTTCACGTGCCTAATGTTATGTTTATTGTGCCTGCACGGATGTAAACTATCAGCAAAAGTGATTTCGATAAAAAAGTACTCACAATATGATACAATCATGAGGATTTAGAACCCAGGAAAACCATACCTTTATTATATGCAATTTTCTTATTCCAACCATCATGGGAAAAAAGAACAGCAAATTGAAACCGGAGGAAGTAGAGGACTTAAAGAAACGGACATATTGTGAGTATATACACACAGACACACAAATATCTTTACTGAAATATTCTTCTCTTTTTTTCCCTCTTTGATCAATGGAGGAATTTTCTGCATAATACTACAGCTTGTGTGACTCGGATTCTCTTTAATGCTTCTCTCGGTGTTAGAATATCGATTTCACAGCATTTATTAGTTATCTGTTGGTATGGGATTTTCCCTATTTTAACTTAGGTCTGTTTGTTCCTGAATTTCCGATGCTTATAATGATTCTGTTCAATGTATCTAAACAAATTCCAATATTGTGAATGTAATATGCTAAGTCTGCAAGTTTTTAGGGTGATGTGTGTGTGTCCAATGACAGTTGCAATTATAACTTGTTGGTTAATCGAACAAAAATCAATATACATACATACATATATATATATATATATATATATATATATATATATTTATATTTATATTTATACTTGTATGGGCGTGTTGAATATAACTTTTTTTTTATGAAAGAAGCATTAATCGTCGACTCAAAAACAACATAAATATAATTAGATATGGTCTGAAATTAGAGTCGTCAATCGGAAAATTACATTAATGATTACGGAAATTTATCGAACACCATTATCCGTTATCTGAATAATTAAGATCCATTGCTATGTGATTAGCTTTTAGAATCACCTACATAAGCAAACTAGAAACATTATATGAATTTATTTTCCCCCCGTTAATCTGGAAACATTGGTCAAGGACCCGCTATGAACTTGCTACTGTAAGTGTCGTGTGTTTCACATAAGTACATTAGCAATGTGTTGGTTATGATGGTCAGAGAACACATGTTGCAAGTACTGCATGTTATTCTCTTGGAATGCACGTGCAGGCGTGTAGTTAATTCGTCAAAGTTTGTCGTCTGCCAAATTCACAGCGCCAACCAATTACTGATTGTGCAGCCCAACGGGAGCTGATATATATTCTGATCTATGTAATTTAATTAAAGCTGGTGATTTACTGCAAATTAAAATGAAATGCATCTTTTATCCCCAAACGCTAATTCATCACTTACAGAAATTATCTGTAATGGTAAAAATACACGCATTAAAGTCCTTTATCAGGATACAAAAAGTTGAAAAAAGAAATCAGGAAAAATAACCAGGTAATTATTAAATATTGAGCCGAATTCCGAAATCTAACCAAATTTTTACCATTGGCTAAATTGTAACTATTTTTTTTCCCCTTCAAAATCATCTTCCCACTACTACCTGAAATACACTTGACATTTTGCTGTTTCTGCCTGTAAATGCTCATAACAACCCGAAGTTTTACCATCAGGTTCTTTGATTGATGTACATTTTCTGGCGTTTCTTGTAATTTCTCAAGTAATACGTCAATTTGGGGTCAGTGAAACAATCGCAGGCTTTTTACATGAAACACACTGCTAAGGGCATGCATTTTAAAATTCTAAATTATTTTGTATATAATCACTGATTTTCAAAACTAGGCCTACACTGTATAAATTATGATCAGGGGCACTAATATACGCTCTCTCTGATCTCTGAAAATAATTCATATCAGATTAAATGCATTTTATCTCTAATACCATTATGTGCAAAACATCTGCCAGTTACAATAATCTAAAGCATCAATGAGCCCGATGAGTTACATAATACATTTCATTATTTTCTGTTTCTCGGATTATAAAGGAACACAGTGGTAGTTCTACCATGAATTTCTTTCACTCTTTTCCACTTCCCATGTTATACCAGACATAAGATATTTTTAATTTTATCATAAAAGCAGATCAGTTAATTCCTCTTCCACTATAATAGCATAAAATGACATAAAGATTTAACTCTTCTCGACGGTAGCTTGTTATGAAGAAATTTTCAATTTTCATTGTACAAACATCTCAAATTCTTGTGTTAAACTAAAAACAAAAACACCGTGACACTTAGTTCGTCTTTTAAGACTAAAATAGACAAGAGCAATGATCTAATAAAGAACAAGATGTGTTTGTGAAACACTGATGCCCCCGTATGGCAGCTTATGGCGAAGGTTAACGTTTCTCAAATGCAAGTCAAAATCCAGGCCAAAAGATAAAAAAGGCTAAATTTGAAAGCCCTAGCTGCAACTGTTCAAAAGTTACGGCGAAGGTTAAAGTTTTTTAAAAGTAAGTAAAACATCAAGTTCAAGGTTAAAGTTGTTGGTATCCAAAGGAAGATCTTGTCACAAGGATTACATATGTAAAGTATGAAAGCCCTAGCACCAACCATTCAAAAGTTATGGCCAAGGTTAAAGTTTTTCGAAAGTAGGTCAAAGTCCTATGTCAAGGTCAAAGTGGTTGGTATCCAAAGGAAGGTCTTGTCTCAAGGATTACATATGTGAAGTATGAAAGCCCTAGCTTCAACCATTCAAAAGTTATGGCCAAGGTTAAAGTTTTTCAAAAGTAGGTCAAACTCCTAGGTCAAGGTCAAAAGGTCGAAGTGGTTGGTATCCAAAGGAAAGTCTTGTCACAAGGATTACATATGTGAAGTATGAAAGCCCTATCTCTAACCGTTCAAAAGTTATGGCCAAGGTTAAAGTTTTTCAAAAGTAGGTCAAACACCAAGGCCAAAGGGTCAAAGAGGTTGATATCCAGAGGAAGGTCTTGTCACAAGGAATACATATGTGAAGTTTGAAACCCCAAGCACCAACTGTTCAAAAGTTATGGCCAAAGTTAAAGTTTTTCAAAAGTAAGGTCAAGGTCAAAAGGTCAAAGTTGTTGGTATCCAAAGGAAGGCCTTGTCACAACGAATAGACATGTGAAGTTTGAAACCCCAAGCACCAACTGTTCAGAAGTTATGGCCAAGGTTAAAGTTTCATAAAATTTTGCAAAAGTGGGTCAAACTCCAAGGTCAAGGTCAAAAGGTCAAATATGATGGTACCCAAAGAAAGGTCTTGTCACAAGGAATACACATGTGAAATATGAAAGTCATAGCTCCAACCAATCAAAAGTTATGGGCAAGGTTAAAGTTGACAACAGACAGACAGACAAACAGATAAACAGACAAACAGATGAACAGACAAACAGGACAAAAACAATATACCCCCGGGATCTTTCAATCCGGGGGCATAAAAAAAAAGAAATACTTAAATATTTACGATGCATGTTTAATTCATAGACATAACTTTTCAGTTGTTTCAACCAGCAAAGCATCGAGACGGCATGCAACAATCACACAAAACAGTAAATTGTATCAAAAACATTTCAACATAACAATCAAGAAATACTATCCTTTGAAAACACAGGGTTTTTTTTGGTATTCTCGGTTACCCATAATCAATGGTACTTAATTATTCTTGAGCAGTTAGCAAAGCTTGGCCAAAACGCGTTTACAGTATTAATTTTTGAGTGTATGACACATAACACCAAATCAATCCCCCAAAATAAAATAAAGGAAAACCCCAATCTGTTAAAACACAGTATGAAGTGTGACTTGAGTTTGATGTGATTGATCCGAAGTCTCGGTATCGATAATTCCATTACCTGACATTTTAATATCGAATACGAGTCTTTAATTACATGATTGCATCACAGTTTCGGGATAGAGACTTCCGTTTCATTCAGGCTCATGCGTGAGATCAAAATTGCTACATTTGATGAAATACAAAGAACAGAGCTTTGTAATTATTATTATCATTATTATTATTATTATTATTTTTTTTTTTTTTTTAGATATTTTTATACATATAATGCAAAGAATATTGGTTACAAGTCCTTTTGGTACAGTAAAATATAAATGCGTCCGCAGAATTGCATTGATAGAGTATTATAAACTTCATATAATTTATGTCACTTTAATGTACAAATATAGCCGTTCTTTCAATAAAGCATATACATGTTTGTATTACATGTACCTTTCACCACACAGTGTATATCTACCCAGAGACTTAAAGAACATTATGTTTCTGATTTACCAGCATCTTACGTCCAAACTTAGTCTGTCGAATTCGAAATGGAGATGCTAGTACTGACAAATCGGCATATAGTTTCTCCCTCTCCTAAAAAAAAAAAAAATGTATGATTGATTATTTTGACAGGGAAGGTGGCAAAATTAATGATTACCGACATTTTGAAATTTTACAGAGAATGGTACGTTTCCCTTCTTGGAAGTACTTATAGTTATTTTATCACTAAAACGTCATATGCAATTTCTCAAAGGTGTAGGCATTTGGGAGTGATTTATCTTTCAAACCGGAGACATGCGCAATAATGTAAAGTATATGTACTATATATTATATATAAGCGGAAGTATATATAATTATAATGATTCATCAGATACATCATGCGCGGATCTAGCGGGGGTGGATTGGTTCTGGACCCCTTATCAAGTTTTCAAAAAGTTTTGTATACTTAAGTAAGGAAAAGATGACTTTGGATCCCATTTCCCCTTTAGAAGACACGGACCACTGGTAAAATGGTAAGGAGAGACATTTATACACATAAAAGAAAGTGACCCTTTCCCTCTCCCCACCACCACCACGTCCACACGAAATGCTTCCTGGAAAAATATCTGGATCTGTGTATGTACACGAATGTTCTTTTTTTTTGGGGGGGGGGGTAATGATATATGTACACAATCCATTAAAATATGTCCCATTCTGCTACATTAATGACCTGATATTATCAAGGGAAAGCACCGATGAACATATAAAAGTGTATAATAAATGCAATCAAACCATAAATCAATCAATCAATCAAATAATGAGTTGTAAACCTCATTTTGCTACACTAAGGACTCTACAGAAACTAAAAACAATCAACGAGATTTTTTCAGGTAATGCAAACCCCTGCTAGGAACTCTTGTATACACAGTATTTCCTATAGCATCACACGTGTTTTCTGTTATTCTAATCCCCAGCAACTGCCGCATGATCGTCATCAGCGGAAGGAATCGGGGTCGTGTGCAGCTTTCTTTCCCATGATAAAACTACTCATCTTTTAATTGTTAAGCGATATTTCTTTTTAATTGCTGGATGTATTACTATATATT